GTTGGTTCCGTTGGGTCCATTGGTTCCATTGGCTCCATTGGCTCCGTTGGTTCCATTGAGTCCATTGGGTCCATTGGTTCCATTGATTTTGTTAGTTCTCCGTTGGTTCCGTTGGTTCCATTGGTTCCGTTGGTTCCATTGGTTCCGTTGGTTCCATTGGTTCCGTTGGTTCCATTGGTTCCATTGGTCCTATTGGGTCCATTGGGTCCATTGGTTCCATTGGTTCCATTGGATCCATTGGGTCCATTGGGTCCATTGGCTCCATTGGCTCCATTGGTTCCATTGGTTCCATTGGGTCCATTGGTTCCATTGGTTCCATTGGATCCATTGGGTCCATTGGTTCCATTGGATCCATCGGGTCCATCAGTGCCATTGGGCCCATTGGTACCACCAGTCCCATCGGGTCCATTGGGTCCATCTGTCCCATTGGGCCCATCGGTACCAGCAGTCCCATTGGGTCCATTGGGTCCATCAGTACCAGCAGTCCCATCAGATCCATAGGTTCCATTGGTGCCATTGGGCCCATCGGTACCACCAGTCCCATCAGGTCCACTGGGTCCATCGGTGCCATTGGGCCCATCGGTACCAGCAGTCCCATGGGTTCCACCAGTCCCATTGGGTCCATTGGGTCCATCAGGTCCATTGAGCCCATCGGTACCATCAGTACCATCAGTCTCATTGGGTCCATTGGGTCCATCGGTACCAGCAGTTCCATTGGGTCCATCGGTGCCATTGGGCCCATTGGTACCAGCAGTCCCATGGGGTCCATCAGTGCCATTGGGCCCATCGGTACCAGCAGTCCCAATGGGTCCATCGGGTCCATCGGGCCCATCGGTACCAGCGGTACCAGCAGTGCCATCAGGTCCATAGGTTCCATCGGTGCCATTGGTCCCATCGGTACCACCGGTCCCATGGGGTCCATTGGGCCCATTGGTACCAGCAGGCCCATTGGGTCCATTGGGTCCATTGGTGCCATTGGGCCCATCGGTATCACCAGTCCCATGGGTTCCACCAGTCCCATTGGGTCCATTGGGTCCATCAGTGCCATTAGGCCCATCGGTACCACTGGTCTCATTGGGTCCATCGGTGCCATTGGACCCATCGGTACCAGCAGTCCCATTGGGTCCATTGGGTCCATCGATACCAGCAGTCCCATGGTTCTATCAGTGCCATTGGACCCATCGGTCCCACCAGTCCCATTGGGTCCATTGGGCCCATCGGTACCAGCGGTCCCATTTGGGTCCCCTCCCCTCCCCCCCCCCCCAGGAGCGCTGCGCTGTCACCCAGCTGACGGTGGCCGGGAACCGCCTGGATGGCAG